AGTGATTGTGGGGGGTGGCGGTAATTCGGCCACCCCCCAAGGTGCACAGCAGGGCAGCAACCTGGTGTATCGCGTGGTGAGCTCGAGGCATCCTGGAAGCGGGCATCATCCGCACGTGAAAAAGTCGGATAGCTCCCAGCAAACCGACAACTCGGCGTTCAAGCATCAGCAGCAACCGGGTTTGAATAGCAGCTCGGCGACGAACAGCAGCTCGAACAGCCAGCAATGGAAAAAATATATCGAGGCTGGAGCCGCGAGGGATCGGGAGAGAGACAAGGAGGGCGCTCCTCCGAGTCCTAGTCCCTCCAGGCGATCTCAGGTAAACAAAAAAAAATTTTATGTATAACGGTTTTCCACATCCCCTTTCGGTGGAAATTTAATGAGTAATAAACTTAGTTCGATTCATCATATCGTTCGTAACAATTGTACTTTCGAACTAATAAATTCGAGCATTTTAACTAGTAAAGTATTTGAAGTAACTTTATTTTTAATTAGTTGCTTTTTCATTGGTTACGGATAATTATTTTTGTAGGAAAAAGTTTCATGAAAATTAGTAAGAAATGTCATAACCTATTAAAAAGAGATTTGCTTCGAATATCATCAAATGATAATTGATGAAAAATTTAATAAGTCGATTTATCATATCGTTCGTAACAATTGTACTTTCGAACGAATAAATTCGAGCATTTTAATAAATCAATTATTTGAAGTAATTTTATTTTTAACTACTAATTAATTGCTTTTTCATTGGTTACGGATAATTATCTTTGTAGGAAAAAGTTTCATGAAAATTAGTAAGAAATGTCATAACCTATTAAAAAGGGATTTGCTTCGAATATCGTCAAATGATAATTCGTCGTATTAACCTTTAGAACTCCTATGTCGAGCTAGACTCGACATTATACAACGCAGCTTCTAAAATAATTTAAAATGTTTTTTTTTTCTTTCAAATACTTTATAATACTTTACACAATATTTTATTGAGAATCTCTTTTTAAATTCTTTTTGTAAATAAATTAAGAAGTTGTTGCTAGATAAAAAAAAAAAATTAAAGAGTGCAAAGGATTAAATCTGTTCAACAGTGATGGGTAGAAAATTTAATAAGTCGAATAAACTTACTTCATTCATTAATTCATTCAAATTGTTCATAACAATTGTACTTTCGAACGAATAAATTCGAGCATTTTAATAAATAAATTATTTGAAGTAACTTTATTTTTAACTACTAATTAGTTGCTTTTTCACTGGTTACGGATAATTATCTTTGTCGAGTAGGAAAAAGTTTCATGAAAATTAATAAGCAATGTTCGTCATAGCCCATTAAAAAGGGATTTGCCTCGAATATCATCAAATGATAATTCGTTGTATTAAATCTGTCTGAGGAAAATTCAATAGTCGAAATTATTTCGATAATTTATCGTTCAAAACGTAATAATAATCGCGAATAATTGTACTTTAACGAATAAATATTATTCGAGCATTTTAATAAGTAAATTACTCGAACTTTATTCTTTAACTAGTTACTTTTTCAACTAGTTGTGTTAACATCCAACTCTCGCCTATCTCCGCTCCGCTCGTATCGATTTTTCGAATACCAAGTTCATTCGCACGGATCTTCGAATTTTCGCATACACGCGAGAATTTACGTCGAATTTAAAATATATTGGAAAAGGATAACCAGAGAGAAATTTTTTCTCGTTCCCCCAGGACAAACATCGGAAACAGGCCATGGCTGAATATGCGAACGGCGAAAAACCGCAGAAAGTTTCGTCAGGAACGTCGACCAGCGGCAGCGGGAAAGTTAGGGGCGTGCCTCAAAGTTTCGGTTATGTGAAGAGGCACAGCGCCGGCACCAGCCCGAGCCCAAACGGAGTTCAAAATGGTGGCAAGGATTCGACGAGAACCGCCCAAGTTAGCGCTGTTCCAAGGACCAAGGTACGTACGCGTCCAAATTACAAATCGTTTCTTTTCGCTTTTAATTTAATCGAAACGCACGTTGAATCCCTCTTTTCATCTCTCCCGTAGGTTAAAGTATCGGGCGGCACGCAAACGTGTACCACCGAGCTTCAAGCCAACTCCTCGGCGCCTAACCAGGGCCACCATTATAAGAGCTACAGCCTGACCGGGCCGAGCGCGAGCCAACTATCTCAATCGGTGCGTGATCGGCTTATGCTCGGCTCGCAGAGCCTGCCCAAACCTGGAAGCCCAGAATTCACCGCGTTATTCGCGTCTGCGCATCATCGCGAGCGGGGGTCGGGCGCGGGGCCTACCGCCACCTCCTTCTCGCCACGGGTTCTCAAACCGTCTGATGGAAGTCTAAGCGACACGTGCAGCAATTACGCAGCCCCTGATCTCCAAGGATATTACACTCCCAACAGCCCGTACACAACGTCCTGGATGAGACACAGCAACACGTACACGCCCAGCGGG